CCTGGTCCTATGCCATCATCATGTTCAGTTGCAGATCAGACTGTTGTGATCCATAGGGTTTTTAATTGGCTGATTTCTGGAAGTAGATCGAGAGTCCTTTCTTCCTACTCCGTTTAGTCCGAAACCTGTTCAGCATCACAGCAACATGCAAGCCTCCACTGACGGGTGGTAGCTGTGCATGAGGTGCATTGGCTGGGAATCCAACCTGGGTCTCCTGCATGGAAGGTGAGAATTCTACCACGGAATCACCAGTGCCCTTATAATGGTCAGGTTTGTACACTTACATATGGATACAAGTGCCTTTTTTCCCCTCTGTTCCGTGCTTGTCCTCTTTCCCATGTATATCCATTAAAAAAAAAGAAAAAGAAAACAAAGGGCCCAATTATTTTCCTGTTCTTAACAAGTCGTACATAGATGAGCATGCTTTGAGGACCGAAACATGTTGTCCTTAGGGACTGACAGAGAGGAAGGTCGAATGTATAGAGGGAGAAGCAGCAGGGTGAAAAGAGAACTGAACCGGGAATTGGGAAACTTGGGTTCTAATCTCATCTTTGTCCCTGACTAGCTAGAGGGCTGGTGATATAATGAAAGGTTAATAACAGTGGCTTTAGAATCTTACAACCCTGATTTCAAGTCACAGTGTTCTCATCTGCGTGACGTGGAGAGCACCTGCCTTGCTGGACTGCCACAGTGGTTAAATGAAATCAAACGCGTAAAGCACTTAGCACCACCTGTGCATTTTCTAGTCCAGAGAAAAATGACCCAAGATCATGAGAGGCTTAGAAAATATCATATGAGAAACAGCTGAGGGAAGGAGAAAGTTTATCTTCCCTTCAACAAAGAAGACTCAGGAGGGACATGACAGCTGTCTTCCTTTTAAGTTGTTGCATGAAAAGGAGAGTAAGCTGAATGTGATTCCAGAGGGCAGGGCAAATCTGAGCCAAAGGATGGAAATTACAAGCAAGTCCAACCATAGTGCAAAGTGAGCCTGAGAAGTAGAGCAGCCCAGGACGGGAATTAGCTGCTTTGGGCGTTAGAATCCTGACAATGTGTACCTGGCCATCTGATGACTACCAGTCTTGTCTACTGGGGGAGGATCTTTCCTCTGGGAGGGAAGCAAGTGAAGATTTTGATTGTTGTACTCAGCTTACTCCTTCCTGGGCTTCTTCTGAACTACCTGTGGATTCTTCCGTTTGTCCTTTGGTGCCACAGTACTTAGTTTTATGCATGATGGTTTTTGTGTTACCCCTGGGAGTGAGCCTCTTAATTCACGCCAGGGATTTTTTTTTTTTTTTTGTCCAGCACCATTTCTCCCCAGCCTCACCCCCATTCCAATGCAGTTATGTTTGTTCTGCTTTCCTTCTGCCTCCCAGATTTTTCTTTCAAGTCTTCATGCTTGATGTCATGGGACTGTCAGAACAGTTTGCTTCTCTTCTGAAAATCTAATCATGTGAGAGTCACTACGTAAGTGAGTTTTCTTCCCCTTCCTTACTTGACAGTCTTTGGTACAACAACAGCCATCTGGGGAAGGAGAAGGTGCCATCTGAGTCTCTCCTTGCAATGGAGAGTTTTGGGGAAGAAATGTTGTTTAACCAGACTTTAACCTGAGTTTGGTCAGGCGAGGCGATTGGAATTAGGGCTAAAAGCCCAGTTCTTCTCTTTGCTGTCATCAAAGGCCAAGTGCTGATTGTTTGGAGCCTTGATTTCTCTCTCTAGCTTAACTTTTGGACCATTGACAAAGAGAAGATCACTGGCTGTTGTAGATGTGGCATGGCAGGGCTGACACATGGAAATTTTGAATTAAGCATAGTCTACATTTGGAGTCCTCAGATTTCCCTTTTGTGTGCTGCTCCTACTGTTGCTCATCATTCCTGACTTGTACTATTTTCCTGTCTTCTCACCACAGCGTCGCCATAGTCTTCATAAGGAAGGGGGGTGGGGTAGGAATGGATATCCCCATCATACAGGTGAGAAACAGATTCAGAGAAGTTATGTGACTTATTCAAACCACACAGTCATGAAGACTATGAAGAATCTGGAGCTGGAATCCAGGGAAAACTGTGGACCTGGCTTTTCATTTATAGGCCCTGGAGCCAGGTAGGGTCACTGTCCAGGGGAAGATTGAAGCTCAGTCCCCTTGCCTCTGTGTTCCTTTATTCATTCTTTCTACAAATACTTGAGTACCTAGTAGATGTCAGGCACAGTGGCAGGCACTGGGGAATGCAAAGCACTTTGAGACCCAGGCCTTGCTCATAGACCAGTGGGGGGGACAAGCCTGAGTAAGTAGGGATCCAAGACAATGTGATGAGCGCTGTGACTGAGGATGTACTGGCTGTGAGTGGTTAGGGTAGGCTTCTGTGCAGTAAATGACATCTCACTTGAAACCCCAAGAGATACTATTCAAAGAAAGGGTGTTTCAAGGGGGAAGGAACAGCATATGCAAAGGCCTGGAGGCAGAAGAAACTGAAAAAATTCAGTATAGCCGTAGCCTAAGGAAAACAGCGTGGAAGAGGAAAGCAGTGCTAGTTTATGTAGAGTCTTAAGGCCATGTTAAGTATTTTGAGTTTTAGCCAATGGGCAATGAATGGGAAGTCCTTAAGCCTGGGAATATAGCTTGGTCAGATCTGAGTTTGAGAAAAATTACTCAGCAGCATGAGGAGGGTGCATGGGAGGGATGAACCCAAGAACTTTCTGCTCACCTGGGGAAGCTACTCCTTCTTTGAACACTCAAGGATCCCTGTCACCAAAATTCATCCCTCACAATTTAGCACTGAGGTTTCCCTCATGCTGACTGACAGCTGTGGGCCAGTAATTCCTTTTATTCTTAAGAAGAGACTAAGGGTCCACAGACAGACAGTTTTCTTCTGCTTTCCCGATTTGAGGAATCTGTATGGAGGGGAAAATTAAATGAGATGACAACATTAGGGTGGCTTATTCTGACAAAGCCATTGGCAAATGCCAGCACCACCACACATGAGCTTGGAGAATATGAGCAAGTTCTTGAACTTCCTTGAGCCTCATTTTCCTCATTTGAGAAACACAGGTAATAAAATAACTCCCTTAGAGTATCTTTGGGAGGATTCTATGAGATGATATAAGTTCCAGGCATGTAGGAGGTACCTAGAAAACATTTATTCCTGTCTCTTTTTTCCTGCCCTCTCTAAGGAGCCCTGGTGGTGCAGAGGTTAAAGTGATGACTTCTATCCAAAAGGTCAGCAGTTTGAAACCACTAGCAGCTCCACAGGAGAAAGATGTAGCAGTCACTTCCATAGAGATTTACAGCCTTGGGAACACTATGGGGTCACTATGAGTCAGAATCAACTCAGCAGCAATGGATTTGGTGTTGGGTTCCTTAGTGCTGTTCCATCTCATTTAGAGTAAAAGGCAGACACCTCCCAGTGACTTATACAGACACAGCATTTTACAGTCTAATACTGTGTCTTCTCTGACCTCCTCTCTTCTTGTTCTTCTGGCACACTCTGGTGTACCATGGTATTTCTTGGCCACACCAGATACACTCCCACTCTCTGGCTAAAGCTAGTCATATGGCCAAGTCCAACCTCAAGAGGATAGGGATGAATACTCTTGCTTACTCTGTTACTTACTGTAGTTGCGTAGTTCTATTATAGGGAAGGAGAAAAGAATTAGGAATAATCGAATTTACCACACACAGCATTTAACTCTGCCTAAGGAGCCCTGGTGGCACAGTGGTTAAGTGCTCGGCTGCTAACCAAAAGGTCAACAGTTTCAACTCACCAGCCGCTCTGTGAGAGAAAGATATGGCAGTCTGCTTCCATAAAGATTATAGCCTTGGAAACCCTATGGGGCAGTTCTACTTAGTCATATAGGGTCACTGTGAGTCGGAATCAACTTAATGGCAGTGGGTTTGGTTTTTGGTGTAAGGAGATGAGGGAAGGCTTTCTGGAGGTGGTAACTTTGACCTGTCTTGAAGAATGAATAGTTTCAAGATGAACAAGCAGGCAATAATATATTCAAGGGCATGCAAATTTAAAAAAGAGAATGAAGTAATGTTTTAGCAATATTTATTTGAGTATTCACTGTGGGTGATATGCAGAGAGCTACTGGAAGATTATAAAAAGGTCATCAGAATCTGAACTTATGGGGGAGATCAGAAAGGGACATAATACAAAAGAGAAAAGAAGTGCAGTCTTACTCAACTGGATAGAACAGAAGTGTGAATTCAGAAAGGAGGCTAGAGATGGGTAGATTTGGGAGCTAAAGGTATATATTTTCAGTGACTATTTTTGGTACACAATGCAAGATATGTGCTGTTTCGTATTCATTATTTCATTTAATCCTTACAACTTAACTTTCAAGTTAAGTACAAATATGAAAACTGAGTCCTAGAGTGATAGGTAACTTGCCTAGTGGCTTACAGTTAGCAAGTGGGAGAGGAAATACTTCCCAGTACTGTTTTGCCAAAAAGCAGGGAATTAATTCATAAAAATTTCACTAGTTTACATACTCTGTATTCTTCTTGAGTGGAGCTGCTTTAAAATTTACTAAACACATGTTTTTTAGTATCTACTATATGTGCAGCAGTGCATTTGTTGCTAAAGGGGGCTGCACTTGTGGAGTAGATAAGTCTCTGAAGTCCCTTCTGGCTGTAACGTTCTTCAGGTGTCACCTCCTCATTGCACATTGGTTTAAGATGCCTCAAAGAAAACAGGATTTCACCCGTGGTCCTGCTAAAAAATGCTCACTTTGGTTGGCAGGGTGTTTTAAAATTCTGTCTCTTCCTTTCCCCCAGTTTATATATACATACCAGTAAGCGTTCTTTGTCCTCAGAAGTGAAGGGAGACAAGCTTGGTAGGTTGCTCCAGGCCCAGCAAAGGTTAGAAGTGGGACTTGGTGAAGAATAACAATTCCCGCTATTGTACAAACTACCTCTACCTAATACCAGTACTTCTTTCATTACAGAGCACAGATATACTCCTGTGGAACATTCCTACTTGTGAAGAAGTGAGCGTTTGTGAAATTTTATTTCTAGTTTCTTAACCTACAATCACTTGACAACTGGAACCATGTCCCTCTGGTCTTACTGACCTTTAGCATGACTTTTTAGCCTGGCATTCTCAGGAGACTGCAGAGAGAGAGAACCAGTTCCTTTTTGCAATCATCCCTCCTCTCAGGTGGATTGTTAAACATTGACATGCGTTTTAATGTGCTCTCCATCTTGGCAGTCTGGAGTTGGGTTGAAGCATGTTTCGTGACCCATTTGCCATTTTCTCAGGAAGCCTGCAGAACTGGTTTCCCTGAACTCAGAGACCATCTCATTTGGTCATTTCCTGCCCCCAGGCATGTTTTAGATCTTGTAACAATGAGCAGTGCCTATAGGAACTGCCCCTCACTGTCTGGTGTTTGCTGTCTCCTGATTTCCCGTGCAGGTGATGCTCAGGTGCTGCTGCCTCTCATCAAGTTGAAGATAAGGTCAGAAGGAGAAAAGGACTGTGAGTAGGAATGCCACTGTAGGAACAAGTGACCTGTCTGGGAAGGAATGCAGCATCTGTCTGAGAGCGTCTTTTCTGCATCTTCCCTTGGACCACTACTTCCTTATGGGAAAAAGGTGCTTTGGATTTTGCTATCAGCCACCCAAAACTTTTGCTGAGCCAAAACAAGACTCTTGCTGCAGAACTGAACAGATATTATTTCATTTTGTTTTTGCACCTTTTAATCATCTTGTCTGCCATATTAGTTGCTAAACTTTGAGAATTTTAAGCCAGATTTGTTACTCTTACTTTTGTGTACACTTTTCAAAATGATTGACTTAAGCTTCCTGACGGAGGAAGAACAAGAGGCTATCATGAAGGTTCTGCAGCGGGACGCTGCCCTGAAGAGGGCTGAAGAGGAGAGAGTCAGGTAAGGAGCCAGTTAGATCCTTGTGCATGAGGGAAGGAGGGGATGGTCTGTAAGAAGATAGGGTGTTTTTTTGTTAAACCATAAGTGGCACTTCTGACTTGGAGCCTAAATTTATGGTTCCAATTTTAGGTCTACTTCCTGGACAGCACTTTTCCTCCTTGATGTCTCTTAATTTATCCTATAGGACTTCTGCCAGAAATGAGGTCTTGATTAAAAACCTAAGTTCTTTAATTTATTAAGCACTGAGTTAAAAATGAAACATACACAATCACATACATATATCTACAGATATACATATGTGTATATATACTACTTTTTACTGAATCATGAACCAAATTATAAATATTTTGCATTTCTAAAAATTTTAAAAGAAAATAAATTGAGAAGTAGTTCATATATGAACCTGCATATTTTCAGAAATGTTTAAATTGGTTTCGAAAGCAAAATTAAAAATACTCTCTGAATCAAGCCGATTTTGCATTTGATTTGAGTCCCACAAAAGGAGTGGAACTTTGACGCATTGTTCTTACTGAGAGGAACTCAAATGTTCCATGTCAACAATTCTACCACTTTCCCTCACCTTTGTGGTAGAAAAAGCAGTAGACCGGAATGGTGAAGTCCAGGGCTTGAGTCCAGGCCCTGCCATTTACCACCTGTGTAATCTTGGGCTTTGAAAGCAGTGAAAGACTTCCTGGATCTAAGTTAGTAGTAATATTTTTATGATCCCTATCTCAGGAGGTGCAAAAAAAGAATCTTAAACCATGTTCTTATTTCTTGGGACACAAGGATCGTAAATAATGGATTTATTTGCATAGTATTTGATTATGACTACTAATAACTCACAGATAGTGCTTAACAAATTGCAAAGGATTTATATGCCCATTATGTCTACTGAGCTGACATACTCTTGTGGGTTGGCAGTTGTGTGAGGAAATTGACTGACAATTTTAACAGGGTGGGTGACTTGCCCAAATCTTCAGGTACTCATTCTCTAACTCTACCTCCTCTCCCTGAGAAACAATAGCAGACAGACCATCCTGGCACCTGGCCACGGAGAAGCAGATGGCTGTCTTGGTTCAAGGCAGGACACTGTCTTAGGCTGAGTTCTCTAGAGAAGCAAAACCAATAAAGCATATAAATATATAGAGACCAAAAAAAAAAAAACCACCAAAAACCAAACCTTTTGCCATGGAGTCAATTCTGATTCAGAGCGACCCTATAGGACAGAGTAGAACTGCCCCATAGGGTTTCCAAGGAGTGGTTGATGGATTCAAACTGCTTTTGGTTAGCAGCCTGCATTCTTAACTGCTTTGCCACCAGGGCTCCAATATATATATAGAGAGATTTATATCAAGGAAATAGCTCATGCAGTTGTAGAGGCTGGAATGTCCCAAATCTGTGGATCAGGATAGAGACTTCTCTTGATTCACGTAGCCGCAGAGGCTGACGAACCCAAGATTGGCAGGTCAGAGAGCAGGGCACTTGCTCATAGGCTGCAAAGATCAATGATTCCCAAGATTGGCAGGCAAGACCAAAGGTAAGCTGTTAGCTGAAGTCCTAAGAACCAGAGGTCAGACGAACAGGAGCCCGCTGCAGGATCCAGAATGAGCAAAAGCCTACAAGCCTTGCCAGAATATCCACTTATATTCAATGCAGGCCACATGCCCAAGGAAACTCCCTTTCAGCTGATTGACTACTCACAGCAGATCTCATCATGGAGGTGATCACATTGTATCAAATCCCATCATGGAAGTGATCACAACATCATACGACTGCCAAACTACATGATAACTGCCAAATCACTGAGAATCATGGCCTAACCAAGTTGACACACAACCTTAACCATCACAGACATTGAGCAGTGATGGTGACAGATGGTGGCTGTAGGTGTTGGGAATAATGAGAACAGGATTCCTCACCCATCATGTTCTTCCTCACAGGTCATCTGCAGTGCTCTGTTCACCTGGATGTGGCCTTGTCCCCATTCTCAGCAAGCAGCATGCCTTGAGTAGTTTCCCCAGCAAGGGTGGAGGATTTAGACATATCCAGCAATCAGAGCCTCTTGGCAGCACTAATCCTTTACCCATTCACAGTTTATGAAACCTCTTAGGTTCCTCACAGCAACCCTTAGAATTGGTAAGGCAGGGACTGTTATACCTATTTTAGAAATGATGGGGTGGGGGCAGCACAGAGAAAATATTAATTGACTCTTAAAGTGTAGTGGGAAGTGAGAATTCTTTTATCCTCTAAGAAGAGGCAATGAAGAGGAAAACATTAGAGCTGGGATTCCACGCAAGTCCTTCCTCTCTCAGGACATGGGGACGATGTGTCTTTTATCGTAAAAGAAGATACATGCAGCCTGGAGAGCTGTCAGTGCCTTTGATTCCTCTCACTTACAGGGGGTTATGGATGATCTGCAATTCTCTCTGTCCTGTCTAGCCAGGGTAGAGTTAAGGAGATTCCCTCACCCTCTACCACTCTGTTTTCTGTTTTTTGGTTTATTGTTGTAGTTTAAGTGAAAGTTTATATTTCAAGTTAGTCTCTTATACAAAAATTTATACATTAATTGTTATGTGACCCTAATTGCTCTCCCTATAGTGTGACAGCATACTCCTCCTTTCCACCCAGATTTCCCATGTCCATTCAACCAGCTTCTGATCCTCTCTGCCTTCTCATCTCACCTCCGGACAGAAGCTGCCCGATTAGTCTCATGTATCTACTTGAGCTAAGAAGCACACTCTTCACGAGTATCATTTTATGTCCCACAGTCCAGTCCATCTTTGTCTGAAGAGTTGGCCTCAGAAATTGTTTTAGTTCTGGGCTGATAGAGAATCTGGGGCCATGCTTTCCGGGGTTCCTCCAGTCTCAGTCAGACCATGAAGTCTGGTCTTCTTACTAGAGTTTGAGTTCTGCACCCCACCTTTCTCCTGCTCCTTCTCTGTTGTGTTCTCTGTCAGGGCGGTCGTTGGTGGTAGCCGGGCACCATCTACTTCTTCTGGTCTCAGACTGATGAAGTCTGGTTTATGTGGCCCTTTCTTTCTCTTGTGCTAATACTTTCCTTGTGTCTTTGGTGTTCTTCATTCTCCTTTACTCCAGGTGGTTGGCCACTTGCAAGCTTTTAAGACCCCAGATGTCACTCACCAAAGTAGGATGCAGAACATTTTCTTAATAAGCTTTGTTATGCCAATTGACCTAGATGTCCCCTGAAAGCATGGTTCCCAGACCCCCACCCCTGCTACTCTGTCCCTTGAAGTGTTTAATTGTATTCAGGAAACGTCTTAGCTTTGGTTTAGTCCTATTGTGCTGACTTCCCCTGTAGTGTGTGCTGTCCTTCCCTTCACCTAAGATAATTCTTGTCTACTACCTAGTTAGTAAATAACCCTCACCTTCCCTCCGTACCCTTGTAACCATCAAAGAATGTTTTCTTCTTTTAAACCTTTTCTTGAGTTCTTATAATGGTGGTCTTATACAATATTTGTCCTTCTGTGACTGACTAAATTCACTCAGCATAATGCCCTCCAGATTCCTCCATGTTAAAAGATGTTTTTTCTCAGCTTCATCATTGTTTTTTTTTTAATCATAGTGTAGTATTCCATTGTGTGGATATACTATAATTTGTTTATCCATTTGTCCATTGATGCCCCTACCCCTCTATTTTCTTGGCCCCTGGAGTTCCAGGTTGCCAAGTCTTCCATTTACTCCTTTGATTCTGTGTAAATAGAGTGGAGGAGTTTCTCGGGCACTTAAAGTTGTTGATGAAAATATCCTCAGAATGCAAAATCCTGCCTGGAACTGGGCCCTGAAAGGGGTGTGAGTGTGTGGCCTCTGGCACCAGCCAGTCTACAGCCACAGCAAAAGTGCCGTGAGTCCCATCGCAGTGGTGGTTTTGCAGACTCTTCTTCCTTTTCTGAGTATGCTCCTGCTGCTGCCCTTGGTTTTCTGCTTTTGTGAACTGATAGGAAGAAGGCTTGGCGTGGTGAAAAATTGATGAGTCGAGCTTTGTCTACCACCAACTATCTCTCCCTGTAGGACCTTGTAGTCACCAAGCACTTTGTGCCAGTTTTTCCATGAGCAGGTCCAGGACTCTTGGGCTGGGGAGGAGTAACGGCATGAACTAAGGGTGGGCAGATGGGCTCGAGGCCCATAGCCTATGGATGCTAAAAAAGACCCAGCCCATGGCCTGCTCCACACAAGAGGGGTCCTCCTGTGACTCCCTCTTTGCTTTAGGATGGAAGGAACTTGTGGGGATGGCTCTGAGGTTGTTCTGCCCCTAGGCTGGTGGAACCAGAACTGGGTCTCTGGTCTCTGAAAATGCTGCTACATGGTTTTTGCTTGTCAGCCCCTTTGCCATCTCCGCAACTGTTTTTGACTCTTTTCATCTGAGTTATAGACTGATAGCTCTGGAAAGGAGATTTTTTTTTGGTCTATTTCAGTTATTTTACAGATGAAGAAGGCAAGGCCCAGAGAGAGGAAGTAACTTGCCCAAGGTCACACAGCTAGTCAGTGCCAAAGCTAAAATAGGAAAAGTTCTAGGTCCAGTGCTTTTCCCGCTTCCCCATGCTGTTTGTTGCTCTTCTTTCAGAAAAGAACGGTAAGGACTTGAAAGAACTCCCCTGCATGGACCTTGGAGTCAAAATCCCATCCCCACAACTAATCTACTGTGGATCACTGGGCAAGTTACTGAACCTCTCTGAGCCTCAACTCAGAGAATGATAATGACCATAATACCAGACTCAAAGGATTAAAATTAGGATTAAGTAAAATAAATCTTAATCTTCTTGGCAAATAATAGGTGATAGATACATTTAGTTAAAGACACTTATTTACCACTTCACCTATGCCTCTGTCTACAAGTTATTAGTATTCATAATCAGATACTCTGATAAGTAGTCTGATTCCTAGGAGGAAATTATTCCGTAAACTCTCAATTATTTAATGTGGTGAAATTTAATTGAGTACCTGTTAAGTACAGGGAACTGTTCCAGATAGTGATGTGAAGG